TGGCCGCCCCCGGGCCACGCTCCATCATCGACTGGGGCGACTGCGCGGCCTAGGACCGACAGGACCTCGTGCCCGCGCCGACGTGTAGGCAGCCCACGGCGCCGCGAGGGGAAAGCGCCGCACGGCCGCCGCTCTTGGCTGCGCCCCGTCTCGGGGACCGTCGCGACCGTGGGCGTCAATGCCGGCACCCACGGCGCGCCCAGGGACGCCCAAGGGCTGCGCCTTTGGGCTGCCGCGCCCCCTCATAACCTTCCAACGACGGATGGCCAGAGATTTGCAGTCACGGTTCGAGCGCGCCGGGCGTGCCTGGCCAATCAGCGGCCGTCGGCGCCCTCGGCGCCCTCGGCCATTTCGGACCCTCGGACGCTCGGCTCCCTCGGACGAGGGGAAAATCCCTCAGCCGAGGGCGTCGGACGAGGGGGCGGCGCCCTCGTCCCGAGGGCGCCGAGGGCGCCGAGGGCGCCACCGACCCCCCTCAAGCCGCGCGCCATCCGCGCGCCGTCGTCGTCGCGGGCCGAGTGTGCCGAGAGCGAGCGGATGTTAAAAAAGAACGAGGGGGCGGGCGGGGGGAGGTACAGGTCGCCGGGCTAGTCGACGCGCTGCCAGCCCCAGTCCTGGCAGGTGCCCTGGCCGCAGAGCGACTGGTTCCACTGGGGCGTGTCCGCGGGCGCGTGCTTCAGGAAGCCGTTGATCTGGAGGGACTGGCCGTTGGGCTCGACGATGTAGATGTTGTAGAGCCAGCCCCAGTCGAGCCAGATCTGCTTCCAGATGCGGTACGTGTCCGCGCCGTCGGGCCCGCTCTCGAGTCTCTCGACGAGGTCGTCGACGTAGAGCGACTCCGGGTCGAGGTCGTCGTCGTCCATGCCCATGCAGTTGCCGCCCCCGCACATGTCGACGCCGTAGTGGTTGTCGAACCAGACGTCGAAGCCGCAGGCCGGGCTGTGGACGTAGGCCGCGTGCGTCTCCTTGAAGTACGCCTCCAAGTCGGCGACGGTCATGCCGCCCGCCGCGTCCGCGGGCCGCTCCACGAAGTGGACCTCCCAGGCCGACGACGACGCCATGGTCCCGTAGCGGTACTTGACGCCGTCGGGCGTGTCCGCGGAGAACGTCAGGTTCGCGTTCAGCTTCGACGAGTACCAGTTCCAGTCGCGGTCCGCGTCCGACGTGGCCCGAGACACCCACAGCGGCGTCATCATGCAGCAGGGCATGACGACGTAGTCCGCCAGCGACCCGCCGTAGCGCGGCGTGTCCATCTCGTGGATCTCCGCCGGGTCCAGCGACGACTGCGACGATCCGACGAACTCCACGACGACCTGCGACCCCGCGTGGTGCGCGAGCACGCTGTAGTACGTGCCGCCGTCCATTCCCGTCCAGGCCATGGCGTAGTAGGGCTGGTTGTGGAGCTTCATTTTCGTGACGACGTCGTCCAAATCCGGGGCCCACAGGCCCGCGTGGTGGTCGAAGACGTCGACGTAGGCCGACGAGTCGCCGACCTTCTGCGTGAAGACCTTCTCGATGGCCGACACGTTCAGGTCCCCGGACGGGTGCGTGAAGGCGTCGACGGTGTGCAACCCGAAGCCCGACGTGCCGTTGAGCATGACGCGGCCCTGCGTGCCGCACTCGCAGCTCGGGTCGCACCCGTCCAGCGCCGCCATGGACGACGAGTACCGCAGGAAGAACTTCTTCGCCGCGTCCGTGTCCGACGCGGCCCAGGCGATCTTCGTGAGGTTGTTCTTCGTCTGGAGCCAGTCGGAGCTCGACGTCCGGTTCGGCCCGGACGCCCTCGTTTGGTCGTGGTTCCGCCCGACGATGGACGCCGCGTAGTCGCGCGCGCGCCGCGGCGCGTCCGGCAGCGCCGCGCCGAAGGACCGGGCGAACTGCAGGCTGCTCGGCGCGTAGCCCAGGACGACGCCCGTCGTCGCCATGACGCACAAGGCGCCGACGGCGATGACGATCCACGCCTCGAGCACGCGCGCCGCGTGCTGGTAGGGCGCGCTCGGCGCCTGGACGCTGCCCGCGCGGCCCTGCGCCCGCTTCGGGACCGCCGCCGCCGGCGCCGCCGGCGAGGACCCGTAGCCCCGCGCCATGAGGGCTGCCCAGACGGCCGACGATGCGCACTCGATAAAGTCGATGCACCCAAAAGATTTCGCCGCGACGGATTTCCAGAGAGGGCCGTATCATCACGGTGCCGTCCGAGGAACACAGGCCTAATCTAGAGCGCATTAGAAGCAGCCCAAGAGCCAGCCCGTGCCGCAGCTCGCGCCGTCGTCGCTGCCCCCCGGGCGGCCCGACCATGGCGGGCCCGCTGCTCGTCTGGGAGTCCGGCGCGACGTTGTCCGTGCACGGCTTGACGGTGGCGCATTCCGGCTCCCGTCCCATCCAGTGTCGGTTGGCGGCGGCGACTTCAGGTCGTGCGCGAGCACGCTGGTTCGGCGCCCCCGGGCATCTCTGGGTTCGGACCCTCGAGGCCGCCGACTTCCGCGTTCGAGGGGGGCGCACGACCGTGCCGCGCTCCATGGAGGCGCGCTGGCTCGAGACTCTCCGCGGCGCCCGAATTGCTCGCCGCCGCGCGGCGGGCTTTCAGGGCAACCGCGTGCACGTCCGAGACCCACGGCGCCAGCCTCTGCGGCGTGGGCTACGCCGAGCCCAAGCAGACCTTCCCCGGCGACATCATCTGCCGTACCTACGCCTTCGCCGAAGAGCTGGCGCGCGCTGTCCAGTCCCGCGCGCCTCGCGCGGGCCTCGACTTAAAACACCGACGCATGTGCCATCTACGGACGCACTCGTCGGTGGGGGAGAGCCGAGGGAGACGCCGCCCCCCCGGGCCGACGGCAGGCCTTTTAGACAACGCCCTGGCCCCGCTTGACCTCCCCCTCCGCTCA